TTCAAACGATGAACTCAGTGAGTTTGATTCATATTGCTGCACATGGTAATTCCGATAGAGGAGAGATTGCCCTTTCCCCCAGACCTTGTTCGAGCAATATTCCAGAGGAAGAAGACTACCTTTTGAGGATCTGTGATATTTCAAAAGTTAAGCTGCGAGCTAAACTGGTGGTACTCAGCTGTTGTCACAGTGGACGTGGGGAGATCAAAGTCGAGGGAGTCATTGGAATTGCTCGAGCGTTTTTGGCATCCGGTGCACGTTCAGTATTGGTGACACTGTGGGCCATAGAGGACGAAGCAACAGAGCAGTTTATGAGGCATTTCTACCGACACCTTGTTGTAGGACTTAGTGCCGGGGAATGTCTTCACCAGGCCATGAAATTGCTGAGGAGCATCGGCTTTACCAAAGTTTCCCAGTGGGCTCCGTTCATGTTGATTGGAGATGACGTCACATTTGACTTTCCGAAACAAAGGTTAGTTCTATTCCCTAGAATAAAGTGATACAACAAACACTTCACCACTTACAGTAGTCGGTTCCAATCGAGATAACAAGAACTAGAGTATAGACACGTATGCTTTTATCCTTGAAATGTTGAAAGAATCTTTCAGCTCCTTTGTGGACGCAGTCAAATACAATTTTTTTAAGAACTCCGAATCACATTAAGAAAGTGAGTTAATAATTATTTATCATTTTAGATAGGAACGGTGCGAATATTCCAAATGACAATTTTAGGTGTTATTCCTAAGCGGATGGTTTAAAAACCCGCAAAAATTGGGTCAGTCAGTCGTTTTGGCGACCATGATGATGATGACGATAACAATTTTTAGAGCGATACTTGTAAACGATTTACATTAGCTTTATTAATAATTGTTTTTCTAATGTTTTTTAACTGTTTTTTTTTTAGAAAAGAAGAACCTGACCGTAAAGGACAAGAATGAAGCCACCAAGTAACAGTCAGCAAAGCATTTATCATTCTCGACTTTCATATCTTTGTCCATAGTCTAATGAAGTATCATAAGAAAATTTCCATGCTCATAATCGACAACAAAGATTGTTTCTAAGTTTTGCCATTCATGGACAGTTTAAAATGTGTATATAAAGTATAAATAGCCTCCAAACATGAATTTAGAGAGGAACTGGAATGTTTCTTTGCATGGAATGTCTTGCCTTAAGAAAAGACAGTAATAAAGCCACTCAGCCCGCAGTGGTTACATAGTTTTACTTATGTAATTTGAGTAAATGGTATTTTTCTCGTTGATAATGGAAACTCTAATGCATTTTTTGTCAAAGATTCTCGTTACTTGAACTTCGTTTGATAAAAGTTAAAAAAACAAGCCTTCTTTAGTCAGCTGTTTAAAAATCGTCCCGGTATAAGTTAAACAGAATCGTGTACATACCGAGAAAAGACAGAAATTGGATATTTTAGTTTAGTTTTAACCGGGGTCGATAATGCACTTCAATTTTGTCAAACTGGCAAGGTTCTTGCTAATTAAATTACTTTTGGTAAAAATGAGAAAAACTATCGAAGGTTATATCGTTCAAATGCAAAAAAAGTCGACTCTTACAGTCTCGTGTACAGATCGAGACAAGACAGAGAAGTTGGACATTTTAGTTTAAGGTTTAACTGGGGTCATGAATGTAAGAAACATATGATATTCATATTTAGCGTGAATTACTTGGATTACTTTTGGTAAAAAAGAGAGAAACTATTAAAGGTTTTATCGTTCAAATGTAAAGAGAATCGACCCCACAGATTGAGACAAGACACAAAAAGTGGACATTTTAGTTTAAGGATTAACTGGGGTCACGAATGTAAGAGATACATACGATTCTTATTTAGCATGTATTATTCTGCAGGAAAACTGATCTTTTGAATTAAATTTTTGTGTTGTACATAGGTAACATGGATAAAATGTTTAAACTAATTTACTTTGTTTTTGAATAAAATAACAGCAGAATTTCGGTAAACAAAAATGTCTTACTTTTACGCTATCATACCTACTCGACCAGCTTTGTAGTCCCTTTATACTCTGTTGGCGACGACTGATCCTCTCTTCAATCCCCCTGAAAACCATTTAACCCCCAAAAATCTTCCGTCCCACCCTTCTCAGACGATAAGTAAAGACTGTAGTCCCCTTTATTCTCTATTGGCGACGACTGGTCCACCCTTCAATCCCCCTGGAAACCATATGACCCCCAAAAATCGTCTATCCTACCCCTCCCAGGCGATAAATAAAGACTGTGGTCCCCTTTGTACTCTGTTGGCGACGACTGATCCTCCCTTCCTCCCTTCATTCCCCCCTGAAAACCATTTGACTCCACCCCCCAAAAAAATCCCCCTTCCCCCTCCCTCTCAGGCGATAAATAAAACTGGTCTTTAAGTAGATTTAACGATTTTTCATTTCCTGTTTGGCTGAACCATTTTGAATGAGTAATGTGGTTTACATTAAAGCCTCCGGTTAAAAGTACTTCTGGCTTTTCAAAGATTTCGAGGGCTTTC